CACGGTGTGTATCTCTACTGCGATTCGGATGTGGTCAAATTTCGTGGTACTACGTGCCCGTTCTCCGGGAACGAATTTACGGTTATGTTGGAGGGATTGGGTGTTCGCAATACGAGAGTCGGTTTCCTGTCGACCTCCTGCTGGGCATAATTCGTTCGTGGAGACAACGACTGACTATCTCAACGGATTTCAGGAGAAAATAAAATGAATCTATGACAAGGATGACTCCACAGGGCTGTTTGCGGCCCTCTTCGTTCAGAGAGAGACGCGGAATGTTCTCTCTGTTCGTACTCAGATCAAAGACCATCATTTATTTTCAGTTCCAAACGATAAATTGATAAACTGACCGCACTATTTCTATTTTCGAGCGCTTGGATTTATAACAATTCTCTCTCTCCTGTTTTGTGTGAGGACGGTCTACCTGCAAATGACAATGAACGAGGAGGCCTTTTCGGAAACTGAAGGAAAATTGATAAACAAACCGCACTGTTTTCGAACGCTGCTAATTTTCGAGCGCTGCGATCGACAATAATAATATTTGACCTCGCCTGGTTTGTGTGAGGACGCCCAGCCTGGCGATGGTCGTCCACTGTCGCCCTCGGAGACGGGCGCGGGTTCGCCAAACGACACCCGGTGGTGCCGCGTAGGATCTGGAGCACCAGGCCGACGGCGAAGGATGTACTAGCAGTCGAACATGGGCACAAGGAAAGGTCCTGCCGGCGGCGGCGAAGTAACGTTTGTTGTGATGGATATTGAAATATTGAAACAAACACGATAATAGTAGACAAGAGGCGTGAGAAAACACACATACTACAGATGGCGGGCTTGAGCGATGACAAAGAGCACCTTGCCGAGGAGAACACGACCCTAATCCACTTTGCCTCGGTTGCTTGTTGGCGGGTAGTGCGTTTGGGCACTTTGGGATTTCATTCGAGTTTGGCGACGCCTTATTAGGGCCTCTCAACCAGAGTCGGTGCATGCCTGATGGTCCTAGTTTCGTGGCATGGCTAGCATGCAAGGGGATACGCCTAAAGGACTTTGCTACCCTCCTTTTCGACCACGTTCGCGGAATGAGCGGGAAAATAGCCTGGGAACGAGAATTAGTACCAAGTAATAGGTTCTTTTTCTACTACTGTAGCAAGTGTTTCACGTGATCGAAAGCAATGGTTGCTACGCCGGGACCCTTCGGGAATCGACCGAAAGAAAGGAGTCGCTGCCCATCGGATTATTCGGGGGTCCTCCAAAATGCAACGTGCCCAACCCACCCACCCACCCGACTACTTTGTGAGTGTCGGTTGGTGAAGAATGTATTCTCATCTACATCGACCCCTATCCAATTTCTCTTCGACATGACCCATATCCGAGCAATATTGAAGACAGAGCGACTGTCTGTGCTGGCGCGTGCGTACACGTTGAAAGGATTACGGGTCTTTTTAAGCATAAGCCGCCTGCGCCTCTGGAATGGCCGGGGCTTCTTCGCTACGAAACGGCGTTCAACAAGCAAGGGCATAATATCTTTCAAGGCTTGCCGCTAGAGAGTCCTCCCACCCCAACTCCCTCCTACACGAGATGTATGAGAGCATGACATGTACGAAAACTAGCCACCACCAACGTAGAGGCCGCTTGACGCCAAAGAGCAGCACATAAAATCGAGGAAAACCTTACTATACCCCTGTCTTGCTGCCCTGTACAGCTGTATCAACCGCAACGGACAGTGAGAAAGACGTTCCCATATCCCCCGCCCCCACCAACTGCATGGCGCCACTGCATACCCCTAGCCATCTGTTCGCTAGGAGTTCCAGGCTTAACCCGTTCGCCCCGACCACAAGGACCTACACGTGCGCATGGCACGTAAATTTTCTGGCTGGGTGTCATCGTTACCAACTCGCAACGAAAACCTTTAGGGCGGCTTTCGTGCCGGTCTTCGTCACGACGTATGTGCCGGTCGGGGAGTTGAAAAACACGTGAGTCCATGTGGGCATCACTCCTCCTCTAGATCTATGCTGCCAGGTTGTCAAAGAAGTTCGTTGGAACAGATTGCGACGCTCCCTTGACTGACGTTTCACATGAACCACCAAGTGTTTGAGAACCTTAAATGGGTCAAGTTGTTTTTTCTTTGTCGAGCTGAAGCCAGGGTTTTAGTCCACCAAAAGAGGGTGTGGTAAGTCTTGGTGGACGTACGGTACGTAAACTGTTGCAAGCAAACGCGAGGAACCTACTGTAGACTACATAATCACTTTGTGCTTTGTGTTTTGTGCGCGTTTGTGCCGGGTGTGTGGGAGCGTATATTGGAACATGCTGACGCTCTGGGGCGATATTGAGGCACGTCAATGTATGTGTTGAAGGAGGGCATCTTAGTACTGGAACCAAAGCAAATCGGCCGTAAGCAAATCACCCATACCTGGAGAGAAACAAGTACGCTCATCCTTGTTACAGGATCACCTGGCCGCCACCAGACTACATGTAATTATAGTCGACTCCATCGTAATAGGCTACTCCATGATATGCAAAGTCTACAAGTCTTTGTACATACAGCAGTAAAGAAGTCTTACTATTATTGCCAAACGAAAAGCAGTCTTTACTGTTACCAAACGCATGTTATGATCTTATCAGCGTGGCTGTCAATGTAGGCCCACCTGCCTATATTTCACCTCCTGTTCGCCCGTCGACAACCAAAACACTGTAGTACTGCATTCCAACCCTGCTGTATTCCAAGAACGATCCTATACTGCGCTGCTATGCTACTGCAGCACCAGCATATCCCGTATCCTACGGGTAAACGCTCACCGGCGCGCTCCATGTCTGTACTGGCAGCCGCAGCCGAGCTCTTCACCCACAACCTCCTCGGGATGTTCGAAGAGCGCGTCCTCCTCGCCCTTTTTCGTAGCACCACGAGGCCGTGCGGTCATCGCACGCGACGTAACGCCTGTTCCTGTCGAGGGAACCTCCTCGAATCCCACCTGCTGTTGCTCATCAGCTGTTGTTTCGCCGCACTACGCCTCTCTGTGGCTCTGTTCCGCGGACTTGCGGGCCCGTTTGGCTTCGGGGATCTGTTGGCCGTCCATCTGTAGTACTGCTGTGCGAGTGGGTGGTGTCGTGTGTTCCTTTCCGTGGCTGCAGGGGTTGAGCAATGGGCTGTGCAAAGGACCAGGCCTAAGCTCTGTGTATCGACCCCTCCCTATCGAATAACGCATCTTCAACAGGGTACTGTAGCCGTTTTTTTGTTGTTCCGGTTCACAGAGGGGTACTTTTTCCGGGCTTGTCATGCTGCCAACGTCGACGGAACGTGTGTGTTTGTGTGTTTCCCCTGTCTACCATTCACGGGGGCGCGCTTGTGACCACGAACGAATTGAATGTATGCACAGGCGGAGCAGCTTGAAACGTTGGGGTCCAAGCGTCGCATATACTCCTGCTTTTAGCGGAGATACAGTAGTCCAGACTACAGGCGATACATGTAGTAGGTGTCTCGGTGTGCTTCGGGACTGTACCAGGTACTGTAAACGCTCACAAGCAAACGATCATCCAACAACGCTCGTCCGGAATAAAACACTATAGCAAATCCCCTACCACGGTACAGCTATTTACGGGTATACTGTGCATGAAAGCCGTGCCTGAGCGAGTGTTTTACGTATCGTGCTCAGCATGTTGTAAGTGGCATGGTTCTCCTGTAATTGGGATATGTGGTCTAGGTATGATTTCTCGTACGAATGTCTTGCACCTGTTCGGCGAAATTCCTACCACACGTGAGCTTGTAGCGATCGTTCTCTTCACTCCGCTGCAGGAACGCGTGATGACAACACATTTTAACTCTTTGCGTAGTAGCACCGTGTACTACGCCGAGCGCAATTAACTGGGCATGGCAGGCGAGATGCAAAACTATCTGCCTCAAGAGCTGCTCTCATACCCTTTCCGCAAGACCCGGGGAATTCGGCCACCGATCGCCATCACCGCTACACTTTCCTGCATATTGAACACCCTCCCTCACCTGATACATGTAGTTTCACTGAAAAAAGTACATGGCGATTTGCCCTGTGGGCTGTTTTGTGTGTGGTGTGATGTGGCATGTACAGTGTGTAAGCTCATTTCGCGAGGAGTGTGAACAGTGCACGACAAGGAAGGAGCACCGACAGATCTTTCATCGTGGTCGGGGGGGGTTGAACCGAGCGGTATTCATTTCCTCATTGGATAGAAGAAAAATAGGATTTTCTCTTTAATGCTTAGATCGTTGGCAAAGACGCGTCCTGACCGGGTGCAAAACCGTCGCTGCCTACCTTCAGCCGAACCCTGACACCATTTTTTCTTGTTTATTGTTTTTTCGCCGTCTCTCCAAACCACAACAAAACTAGCCAACAAACAAAGACAAAGACAACGTCTTTGATCGACTTCCTCGATTACTCTTCATTGTTCAAGCTGAGCAACTATCCCTTCATGTTCCTCTGCCTCGCCAAAAGTAGAGAGGCATGTTCAACCAATCGTATCCGAAGGTGAATAGAGCCAAAACTGTGCTCGATTGCAACAGCAGCCACAACAGAAAAATTTAGCAGCAGCAGGAGTGTGCCCCTAGCCCCCAACAGTTGCGACGAGGGGCCGACAAGAGAGAAACCACTTGTGCCCCCCTTGTACCAAGCAAAAGGGTCCGCCCCCCAGAACATCACACCCACAGCAGTACGGCAAGTCGTTCGGGGTGTCTCTAACAGGATTTTCTTACGGTGCTACAGTTCGAGTACCTTATCTTCACATGTCGAAGGTAAGCCCCTGACAGCCCCAATACCCGTGGATACAAATGTGCACCGTAATCATGCGAAAATCGCCATGGTGACGAACACATGTTCCTGCTGTTACAAATACGGGGTCTCCGTTCCATCTATCCGTACGCAAGCGCACAACATGCTGACCCTGCTCAAAATACCGCGCACACGCTAAAGGAACGCGACGTGATTCTTTGCACCATGCGCGAGGGCCAGTGGGGGTGCAAAAGAACTTCCTTGTCCTCTTTCCCGTCACGCCGCTTCCCAATCGAGGTAGTGTTGCCAAACCTGCAGTCCATCTGGAACAAACTCCCATTCCCCCTCGGATACCTTGGACACAACCTGTTGAATTACGCGATGCATAGCGGAAGAGGCGGGAGACAAATTGAAACGTGAAATGCATGATGATGCACAAGGCAGCATAGTCGTCCAATACTCGCCCCAAATGCACGAATGCTCTGGCTGAAACACCAAAAAGCACGTAAGCAAGCTGCCTTGACTAAAACGTTCTACCACTGCAGCAGAACACCGACAGAGGCGATGTGTACGTCTGGTCCTCGGGAAGGTTTTTGCATGGTGCTCACCTGAAACGTAGAAAAACCACCACCGCGGCGACACCAAAGGGGTCGTTCGTCGTTTTCGCACAGAGCAGCAAACAAGACGACGATAATATCCTACACATCGTGGGTGGCCAAGTGTCAGTTAAGTGCCTACCTCCTCCCACGGCACGTAGCTCCCCCACTCCACCTCGTCCTCCTGCCACTTCACCGTCTCCCCGGCGACTACGCGGTAGTCGAACACAGACACGAAGCAGCGATTGTGGCCCGTCTGAACCAGGCACTCCCCCCGATACCGCATGGAGGTAGTCTTCAGACCGTCGTCCCCTGCAATTTTGGGAGCGTACCACCATGCACATAAATTTCAGGAAGTAGGTTCAACAATAGAGCGCTACAGAACTACACATTGGTCGCCGCCCTGGACACAGAACGAAAGGAAGCAGTTCACCTTGATTCTCAGGGGAGCTGCCGCTGTTGCCGTAGGGGCCTAGCCCAAGCTCCTCGCCGAGCTCTCGAAGCGCGGTGGTCAGCGGCGGCTCCATGGTGCCCGACACCCCGCCGATGAACATGTCGTACATGGAAGGGAACACCCTCTTTGTTGACGTTCGACGATGGCAGTAAACCTCTCCCTACGTAGCGCGGAAAGGGTAGAGGTAACACAGAGAGGAGGCGTCTGGTGGACGTGAGGCCGCATTAAACCACCGCCGTCGGTCGCGTGAGACGGTAGCAACGGAACAGAGACCGAACGTGGCGAAATCAACGAAAGGTGCTTGTGCTTGGGGGGCAGGTCAGAGGGGGGCGTGGGTGGGTTCGGGTGGGGTGGGGTCGAGCGGCGGTGATGGTGTTTGGTGGTGGGCTTGCTTTTTTCCTACGTATGCTATAGTAGGAGGTACAACAAGCAGGTTCTGACGAACACGCGCCGTCCTCGCCTTTGCGTCCCTGATCATAACCCCAGCCCCGCGATGAAGCACATTGTTAGAGTGCACCACCGGCCTGGGCAGCGCGCAGATAACCCTCCCTCTCGTGTCAACCCAGTCGACTAGCTCCCCCTCCTCCTCCTCGTTTGCTGGCCGCCCTGCCTCTTCCGTGCCCGCTAGGGCTCCGAGCCGATCTCGACGCGTCGCTGCAGCTGCCGCCGCCGGACCGCTGAGCCAGCCGTGTAGGGCTCTGGTGAGAAGCCTGGTCGTTGGTCGGTCTACCTCGCGCCCGGTGCGCACACAGATGTAGGTATCGAGAGTCGGGCCGGTGGCGGTGGGCGAGTCCAGTGCTCCAAAGAAGCCGAGAACGTCGCCGTCTGCTTCCAAGTCCTCGACGATCAGAACTCTGTTGTCCGCGCCAGCATGAGCGTGAGTGCCGTCGCCTGCCCGCGTATCGGATGGGCGACGGGGGTCATCGCACGAACCCAAGCGAGAAGAGTCAAGAGGAGAACACCAGCATTTCGGCCATTTCACGCCCCTTAACACCAACATCACCGGCAACACCAAGTTTCCCTTGTCTCACAATCCAAGCCCATCGACAAGATTTCGTGCTCCATCGCGTAGCTCACCGTACATCACACACTCTTTTGTTGGTGTACGTCTTACCGTTGACCGCAGCAGCGGCAAGAGTAGCAGCGTGTCGTGCCCTCTCCTCTTCTCCTTCTTGCTGCCCGTCAAGCACCAACACATCCTGCCAGCTGGCGTCCATCAGGCTCTCCGACTCGCGCCTGGGTCGGATCCTGCATACGGCACCTTCAGTGGTGAGAAACTTGCGGTGAGATAGAAATGAGTTACCGGCAATTTGTCTCACATTCCTTCCTATCTTACCTGTATGCCCCAAAGAACGTCTCGAAATCGCTTGCCCCAGCTACCAGTTCAGGCGGCGCCGCCCCTGGCGTTGCTACTTCCTCGGCGTATCCTGTTTCCGTTGCCATCGCTGCACTCCGTAGGCTTTGCCACAGGCAACGCGATGTACTAGGAGTACGAGCCCGGCGGTGCAAGGGATAAGTTCTAAGGAACCTGCTTCTCCAGCTGCAACACGAGTTGACAGCGGCGGAGGAGAGACAAGCGCTGCTCGCACTGCTGTAGGGTGCGGCTACGAAAAGGGTTGCCGCCGCCGCTGATGATGCTGCCGAGGTCGAGAGCAAGCCGGCTGCTGCGGCTAGAAACACACCGCTGCTGCTGCTGTATCCCTCGCTGAAAACTCTCGTCGTTGCACACTGTACCATAGTTTGCGCGACGCCCCTCTTTTGTCTTCCTCCCTCTGTCCTGCCCACGCGCGCGCCACGCCTACCCCGACGGTCTGGTCTTGCTGGGACAAACAAACATGCTGTTGTCACCCGTGGGTCTCCGCAATCTACGATCAACGGGTTTCCACCCACTGGCTTTTCTCTCTCTCAAAAAAAAAACTACTGTAATCTAGTGCAAGTAGCGCCGCCGTGGATCCTCGTAACTCACAACTGAAGTGCTCTCTGAGACGACTACCACCTCGATTCGAGACGACTGCGACATAAGCGAATACCCTGGCTGATCACCGGACCCGCCTGTGAGCGTTGCAGAGGTGTGGTACATACACAATTGTTGCAAGAACGTAATGTTTCAAGCTGCCGTCAGCAAGAAGTTCCCCTTCCGACATACGCAGCGCGTTGCACCTACAGGTGTTTGCTGCCTGCCGTGCATGGCCTACCTCAGCTTTGACTTGCCATTATTGCTTGGCCTGTTAGCTTGAGCGCACGCCTTCTTTGTGGTGGTCTACGAGTCGCATGGCGACCTTTTCGTATACCCCATCAAACACGCGAGTGCTTCCCTCGTGATTATTTAAACTTCAACCCTGGGAGAAAGATCTCCTTGCTGTCCCTGCTGCCTCTGTTAGCAGTTGTGTTGGGTGTCCCTCCCCCCCTTTATTCTCTCCCTCTGTCTTCAGCCAAAAGTATTGTCAGCGGCAAGAGTACATGCACAGTAGTTCCGATGTGGCAGCCGCATGGCTCAAACCAGCTGTGTTTGTCCTGTAGATGAAGATATACACACGAATGGAAAAGAGACAGATCGTCTAGATGTAAAACGTAAACGTGTCAGTCAGCGAGAGGGCGGCGCGCTCGCTCTCTTTTCTACGTACGAAACCAGATACGCATATAGCATAGCGGTGGAGTACGAAGCTCCCTTCACAGAGAGCAGCGGTCGCATGGCGACTGCGTCTAGCGCGTTTCTAGGCATTTGGGCCAACGCGCGTGGCGTGCTGTGCTGGCCTCGATGCAATCTGCCATCGGAAAAATGAAAAATGCTCCACAGCTTTCACACCAGCAGCAGGAACCGCGTTATCATCATCTGGACAGACTGGCGTCGTATCCAGATCCACAGAAAAACTCGATTTTTTAAAGATGGTGTTGCTCATGTTTTTTTTTTAATTGCATGCCCAGAACGCCCGACGGTTTGTTGGGCGGTTTGTTGCGTGCTTTTTTTTTTTTTTTTCTTAATATGACACCACGTGCTTTTTATTGTAGCGGTATTCGCTCTTTCCGCTGCTGGTATTGTGACACACAGCGACCGGAAGAAAATCCCAAAAGGACGAGGCTATTTCACCATTTTTCTGTGTCCCACTCCCGCGTAGCGGGATGTTTTTCTTACGTACAAGTACGTAAAGTTGGCTGGACCGATGCCTACGGTAGCAGAATACGGTAGTAGGAAGAGAACAGATTTTCTTCAAAGATCCCAACGCGATCTCGCCGTTTTGTATGTTCGTGCTTTTGATGCGCTGCTCATATATATGCGTAGCTCTATGGACAGCAGCAGCTGTCCCTACCTGCATTTCCTCTGAGACTGTGTACGCATGATGGACATTTCTCATGGGACAAAACGTTGTCACTATGTAGGAGTTCCAGAGGTAGGTGGAGATTGACAATATCAAGTTGGCTGTAAGTAAGCCCTGCGTGTGGTTCGTCTCCATGGTGACGGTTTGAAGCTGAGAAGTTGGCCGTAGAGGCACATGAGCGCGAAGAGCATTGAAAGGGTCGATGACGTTGACGTCTCGGCGAGCGTCATGTATACTATCCCCGTTCACCCTTGGTTCCTGCTCTGCACGGAACATGCACTCCCGCGTGCTTCCGATGTCGCTGCTGTGCACACGTGTATTTAGCTCCTATTTATGCATACCACCGGCGTCAGGGTGTCTTCCTCTCTACTGGTACCGACGTTGAAATGGGAGGAAATAAATGCAATAGTCGTCAAGTTTCGTCTTCGTGCAACCCGCTTCCTAGCTTGAACATGGTGTTTGTTTTAGGTATTCGTTCAACCTTGTCTCCATCGTGTTGCTCGATGCCCTGTTCTTACCGGGAATGCTGATTGCACGGCAAAAAACTGTTACACCGATAGTAATAGTGACACTCGACACCGCTCCCCCGCCTCGCGCGCGCGCCCCCAACGTGACCCTTGTCTGTGCACTAATCACAGAAAGAACGACCCCACCGCTACACCAGCCAGTGGTTTCCGACGACGAACACACTAAGAAGCATCAACTTCACTTGTAGGGTGACAAGTGGTGTCCCAACACAACAATGACTCTCTCCTTTGGCTGCTGCTGACCACAGACGGTGTTTTCGGTCTTCCGACAAAAAAAAAAACTTGTGTCGAAGTAAGAGCACGTTTGTTTGTAGCACGCGTCTAGCTGTCGTCGGAATCGCGGGTGTTTCCAGCCGCCGCGCCGGGGGCAAGACGTACGTACCGGTTGCGCGTGATAAGCGGAGAACGTCAGAACATAAAAACCCTGGAAAAAGAAAAAAGACAAGACTGGGCGACGAGAGAAAAGAGGGCGCGGGATAGACAAAAGAGACCAGGAGGTGCAGTTTCTCGCCGTAGCTGTAGGAAGGTGGCATCCGGAGACATGAAGCTACCGCGAAGCAACGACGAGCTGGTGGCGTACATGAAGAAGCACGGCATGGTGAAAACGCCGGCTATAATCGAGGCGTTTCGGGCCGTGGACAGGGGAGACTTCGCCACCCCTAACCTAGGCCAGGTAAAGTGGTCCGCTTTTTTCTCTTTTCTGTTTGTTTTTGAAACGATTTTTTTTTTTTAAGTCGTGCCGGTCGATTTCGTTCGCTTGCAGCATCTTGCGGCCGCTACGGTCTCGCCTCTTTGGGCCTTAGGCTTTTTCCCTACCCTGCGCCTTGATGAAGAAATCCCCTGCGGTGCGTAGCTTCGCCACGTTTTTGCTTATGACCCCCCCGCTCCACACGTAGGCAACGGCGCCACTTGCACGGAGTAGAGAAATTCAAGGGAGGGATGATGAGACTTGTTTTTTGCGCCTGAGTTGGGCGCCATGTCCAAGGGGGAGTAGTAGGCTACCTTGTGGTTTGACGTGGTGAGCGAGCACGTTTTGCAACCAAGAGCCTACCGACCCATACTGCTGCAGCAACTGCTGCGGGTGGTTGTGATGCTGCATACGCGAGAAGATGTCACACCGGGCTGCTGTTCTGAATCAATATCGGGATGTGTTTTCCTCCTGGGGCGTGTGCGATATGTGGACAGACCGGTGTCCCGAAACTATCCGCCGTGCTTCACTATCTGGGTGGTGAAAAGAGCAGCACTGCACATGACGACGTGCTACATGGTTCTTTTTGTTTCGCCGGCACCACCCTCGATGGCGAAACAGGATGGAAATCATGCCCCTGCATGTCAATGTTGTTGTTGCTGTAGCTGCTGCTGTTGCCGTTGGTGCTGTCATCGTTATTTGGACAATGTGGCTGTCGTGTCAAAACTCTCCGTCGGGGCCCGAGATTGGCGACTGTCTGTTGTGCCGTTTGGGCCCCTCATTGGACGGTGGGACGACCTGCGATACGTGTCTACTTGTATGCACGACGTTCAAGCAGTTGGTGTACTTCAATAGGCCGGTCCAGGACGGCGACGTCCACCTTTCGGCGCCCTTCATCTACGCGGACGCCCTCGAAGAGCTCAGTCCCAAGCCGGGCATGTCCTTCCTCAACATCGTGAGAGCAGGGGGGGGGGGCGTAGACAGGCAGGCAGACAGGCAGACAGACACGAAGAGAGACAGGGAGAGCAAGAGATAGCACAGATAGAGGCAGAGACAGACAGGCATACAGGGAGAGAGGGAGAGACAGAGAGACAGGGGAAGAAGCGACGGAGACAGAGATTGAGACCGAATGAGGCGTCTGTCTTGGTTGCGTCTTGTTTGTCTCCTGTCCATTGCCTCCAAGTACACTTGTTTTTTCTGTGTGGCTGTTTGATACGGGAAAAGAGCCGGGCGAGTACACAGGACCGACATCATCCCAGGATTTTAAGTAGTCTAACTCACCTGTCAGGCAATGAGAAATCGAGAGTCGAGAACCCGCTTCTGATTGCCGAATAATTTAACCTGCCGCATTTTCGGCCCACGGTTCAACGAAGACGTGCTTCAAGGCAGAATGCGTTTTGTTGGCGTAGGCATGGGCATGCGTACGTGCACAGCCATCAGGCACCACTTGTTGCGTTGTTTCGCACCGAGACAGACCACTGCTGCCGCCTCAACACTCTTCGTCCCATAATGAGCGTGCACCAAAATGTGGTTGACAAATGTTCCCGAGCAGAGTTGCAGAAAAAGTTTGCAACTTTTCTTGCGACATTCTGCGGCCATAAAAAGCGGTGTCATCATCACCAATAAATAAATAAGTAAATAATACCACTTTAATCACAATAATAATATCCACAATAATGATATCAATAATGATAATAATAATAATAATAATAATAACAACAACAACAACAACAACAACAACAACAACAACAACAACCTTACGGCAGGGGAGCGGGACATGCTACCTATCGTACCTCGTCTCCATGCTCGTCGGAGAGCTCGGCGTCAATCACGGCGTGGAGCTGAACGAGGCCCTGCTGGAGCACTCGGCGCGCTGCATCGCCTCGACGGACGACAGGCTCGGCCGCAAGACCGACATACAGGTCCTCCGCGGCAACGGACTCAGCGTGGCGGTGGAGCCTGGATGCGGGTGGGTGTACGCACGTACGGAGAGTGCCCAATAGCTGGTGTTGCCGTGGTGTAGCAGGTAGGCTTACTGTAGTAGGCTCAAGCGAGACGAGTCGGGCCTGGGTAAGGGCGGGTGCACAGAAAATGTTTGTGCGGAGCCACGGGTAGTAGTTGTAGTTGGGCCTTCTTTGGGGCTTGTAGCTTGTGTCCGCGGAACCTCGTTTTTTTTTTTGCTTGGTGAGCAAGAAGAGGTATTGGATACGGGGACGGGGAGACTTTCGCTTGCAGTATTGCAACAATGTCATCGTCAAGAACAACAATAGTTACCATCCCTTGGGGTTTTTTTTTTGTTTTGGTTTTGTTGGGTTGGGGCCCCCCCCCCCCCGGACCCCCTGGAAACCTCGGTTATTAGTTGTTAGAATCTATCACACGAACCGGCCGACCAATGAAATGGCGTCGCCCTTGAGCAGGGTGAAATTGCGGGTACGCTCGATTACAGTCCGCTGGCTCCTCCGAAATGGGGGGCATTTGTATCTACGTACTGTTCTTTTATTTTCTGTGCGTCGACCGTGCCAACCGACGGACCGACAGAAAGACGTCAGCCTCAATTCCCAATACAAAACCATCAGCAGGTTTTCTAGTCAGCAGCCCCCCCCCCCGAACAAGGGAAGTTTATTTAGTCTGATTGGACAGCAGTGTCAAGCCTCAGGACTTGAAAATGGAAAACGCAAACCACGAGTGAGGTATCACGCCTCCGGCGGTTTACACTCCTGTGCTACATAGTAAGCACATGGCAATGCGTATGCGCGAACATACATTTCGCGTTTACCCAGATAACGGTGACAGCAGTATGTTGTCGTTGTTGTTGTTTTTAACAACCGCCGACACAACGTCGTGGTTGACTTGCACAACGGGGCGCCCGCCGCGTTGGCAAAAACCGAATCAGGTACGACTGCGTGTACGTGGGAGCGGGCTGCGACCCGGACCTGACGTTACCGTACCTCCAGGGTCTCCTCAACGTAGGAGGCGTCATGGTGGTGCCGTTTCGCGAGGAGCTCGTCCGCATGGAGGTATGTAGGCAGAGAGAGCGTTGTTGTGATGCCCCCCTTTTTTTGTACTATGTTCCACACATAATATAATTGTTTTGTTCGTCGCTACTGTTAATAGATGACGGTCCTCGCTCTAATTAACGTGACGCCCAACGCGACGTAAAACCTTTCACAACCAACGACGACGACGGCGACGACGATGATGACGACGACGGCACAGCGAATGGCGGACGGGTCGTTTAGCAGCCGGGCCCTGTGCAACGTGTGCTTCTCGCCGATAGTAATGGTTGACACCAAGAAGGAAGGATTCCGCGGGGCCCCGGAGCCTCCTCCGACTGTGAGGTAAGTGCCGCAGGGTGGTGACGTAAGATATCACACACCCCTGGACCGATTTTTTTCCAAGAGCTCTGGATTACACCGGAGACGAAGAGGATGCCAAAACCATGTGACGCGTCCCGGAATTATCTCGACAAGACGGCCCCAACGCCGCCATAGCCGGCACCGTCGCTCTTCCTGTCGTCGAGAAATCGGGCTTTGAAAATCGGTCCAGGGTGCGTGACATGATATCATGTGTCACCTACGGTATGCTCTGGGCTGCGGCAAAGGGCGGGGAGTCTGTCTACACGCATTAGACTATTTTGCTCTCTTTATCTGTTCTCTCTGCGTCTCTCATTATCTGGCTTCCTGCTTGTGTTGATCCATTGTTGTCGGCTGCCTCTTGCTCTCTCGTTCTCCCTGGCACGTCGCTCTTGTCGTAACGCCCTCCTGCGTGGTTCGTTCGGGCCGACGCATACCCCCCCCCCCCCCCC